TAAGGGGCTACCACACTGGTTCTGAATTGCCTTCTTCCAGGCTATTTCTGCATAAGATAAAAATAATTGTCTAATTTATTTGAGCAACTGTTGCCTAGGTTTCTATTATAGCAGCCAAACTCAATTCCCAATTGATACAGAAATTATACACCTTCTTTTCATTCTTCTAATACTTTCACTTAAATATTAAAATGTATTTCATTTTATAATTTGCTATTAACATTTGGAGCAAACATTTGCTATCACCTCCCTCTAAATCAGGCAAGAATTTTAGCCCAATTTCTTCCCTCTCCCTACTGCCCCCAATAACCTCCAGCATTGTCATCATCTTATTATTTCTAAGTTGATATTAAATTTTTTTAGTCATATCTTGTTTAGAATTGAGAATAAATCTTACTGGCTTCTCTACTCATCATTGCATCTTGTGTTTTTCCCAAGATTCCTCTTTCATTGTCATGTAATTCATTGTCCAGTAAATCCTCTTGGATAAACTTCTGGGTCTTTGCATGTGTGAAATGATTTTTCATTTGCCTTTACACTTGAACAACATTTTGTGTGAGTTTATATTTCTGTGCTAAAAAAGATCTCTCCTCAAAAAGTCAAAGATGCTTCTCCACTCTTTCCTTGCACGCAGTGTTGCTGCTGAGAAAACAGATGTCAGTGTGACACTTACTCCTTAGTAGGTAAACTGTTGATTTTATCTCCTCTTTTTTTTAATTTTTTTATTGTGCTTTGGGTGCAAATTTACAAAGCAGATTTGTTTTACATTCAGCAGTTCATGCACATTTGATTTCACGGCCACGATTACCATCCTCAAGCATAAAAAACTCTCCTCCCTTTCCCTCCCTGTAACTACCCCCTCCCTGTGACCTTCTTATCTATAAATTCCTGTCTGTCCAACTTTCCCTCTATGTGAATGCTGCCCCTTTGATATCTCATGGCTGATTGATCTAAGGGGTACATCTCCCTAGAGTAAATGGGTGCATTGTCCTGGGGTAGGCGTTCTGCATGTTGGTCTTTCTGTTAAGCTGAGAGCCAATCCAAAGAAGTGAGTCCATTTCTAGGCCTGAAGGGTAATCTGGGGCCATAGTCTCAGGGGTTCTACCCATCTCTATCTGACAAGTTATTCTGGTAATTTTTGTGTTTTTTAATTTTGTTCCACATTTTTCCTCCCACTCTCTCCAGGATCTCCAGTTTTGATCCTTTTCTGAGTGGTTGGCATTGGTAGCTGGGCACCATCTAGTTCTTCTGGTCTCAGGGTCATGAAAGCCAAGGTCCTCATGGTCCATTGTATCTTTGGACTAATTGTTTCCAGATGACTTTGATTTTCTTCATTCTTTTTTTGCTCCACACAGGAAGAGACCAATAGTTGCATCTTAGATGGCCTCTCCAAACCTTTTAAGACCTCAGTTGCTACTCACCAAAGTAGGATGTAGAGCAAGATTTTTACATACTATGGTGTGTCAATTGAGCATGATGTCCTCTGAGACTACATTCTGGAGCCCACAGGCTCAGTGATTCTCTCTTTCAAGGTGTTTGGTTGTCTCTGAGAAACTACTCCAACCCTGTCTTCTGTTGCTTCTGTAATGTATGTGGCTGATTTTGTAGCATAAGTGCATATGTAAGATTATCTTCAGCTAAATCTGTCCTTGGTCTAGGATATATTCCTGTTCACCTACCCCCACCTGATCTTCTCACCTGTCTATGCATTTACCTGTACCCTGGTGTTTGGTGGCAGTGGTAATGCAGTATTCTTCATGCAGTAGTATTTGCCTCTGTTGTCTGTATCTTTTGTGCACATTTCTGTGTCTTTCCTTTCTCCAATGTCACCATGCTGATCACAGACTCTTCCCATACCATTCCTCCTGTCACCAAAATCAACATGTGACCCCTAACTAGTCTTTCATTGTGTATATTTTATCTTCATTACTTATGGAATGTACTGTGATATGTTTGGAGATCTATCTGTTTTCCTTTACCTTTGGGGCTGGTTATTTATTTATGTCTCTTCTTCCTTTCTTGTCTTTTATTATTATTATTGTGATTTGGGTGAAAGTTTACAGAGCATATTCATTTTACATACAGCAGTTGATGCACGTTTTGTTTCACGACATTAATTGCAATCCCCAAAATGTAACAGCTCTCTTCCCACTTCCTTCCTATAGTTACCTTTTCCCTGTCTCCTTCTTTCCTATGCATTCCTGCCCCTGAGCTATCTCCCTGTGCAAATATTGCCCTTCTTTTCTCCCATGATTGATTGTTCCAAGGAGTATACCTACCTGGTGTAATATTCATCTTAGATGTCTGTCTGTTGGTTGGCTGGAAGTCACAGGATTGAGTTTAATTCCAGGCCTGACTGGGGGTCAGTTGAATCTTTATAAAGCTCTGGGAAGTCCCTCTCCCCAGTGACTTGAATGTTTCCATTCTGCATCTTCTGTCCTTCCTCTCTCAGGAACATGCATTCGGCCAATGCTGGAATGGCTGCATCAATGTGCTCTTTCCTTCTTAACTCTTTCCATTGCTTTGCCCTTTCTAGATTTCAGGAGAATTCCTCATGTCAAACTTTCCATCATTAATCTCCATTTCAGGTATGCCCATTCTGCATAACTATTGGGTTTTGATTTTAACAATCATGCTGCTCCTCTCTAAGAGTCATTCTTCTATCTTCCTCCCTAGATAAGAGGTCATCATCGCCTATCCCTTGATTACACTAATTAGGCACCTCTGTTAGGGCTCTTCAACCTTGTCCTTGGTCATTAGAGGGTCTACCTACTTAGCTCAAGGACTCTTTATCATGATCTTCATTGCCCATACAACATTATTCCTGAGGTTTATGCTTGGCCTGAAATGTGAGTCTCTAACCTTTCTTCTAGGGTTACAAGTAGGCATGTTGCTGCCTTCTGGGCATGGCATTTCCTGGGCAGTGTGGCCTTGCTGGATGCCAGCTCCCAAGGAATTCTTGTACTAATTGCTGGTGGCTGTGAGACCTTGTGCAGACCCTCATGCTGCAGGGGGAAGAGCCTCCCCTCCTAGCTGGAGCCTAGAGGATCAGCCATCCAACAACCCTCTGCACCACACAAACAATGCAGAGATGACACTCCCTTCTAGGACTCCCTAAGGCGCAAGTAGGAGAGCTTCTCTGGGATACACACCAGGGAAGCACTGGGTCATAAACCATGGTTGACTGCTCTCTGCTATCTGTACATCAGGGCTCCCACATAGACTTGGTAGTCATGCCCTACATACAAGTGTCTGGCCCAGGAAGTGAGTGGGGCCTGAAATCCAACCCAATGCCCCACTGAGCTTTGGGTCTCAACCTGGACTGTACCTACCAAGAATAAGAGGTAGCCCCTGTCTCTCCTACTCTTCAATTGAGGGGTCAGGAAATGATGTAGTGATTCCCACTAAGTTTATTTCTCCCCAGATTTGGGGGATAACTGAGAATTTTCAGAAAAGAAAGGAGTCACATCTTGACTTCTTTAGGATAGGAGCCAAGTCTTCTTTTTTTCCCTTACAAATTTTGAATTGAAAGCTACTCCTCCAATGGTACCAGTCTGTAAATATATTTTTTGCTGTCCCTGTTCAGCAGGTGACAGTTTTTTCAACTTTTTGCTGTTACATTACCAGGGCTACCTATCTTACAGCTTCTTAAGACAGTTTCCTTTTTGCTCCCTGCCTGATCTCAAACCCAAAGTAATAGTTCTGTTTTTGTGACAACAGTAGTCCCATTTTGGTAAAAATTTTTGTATCAACTAGCTTTTTCAGCATAACAAACAAACTAGAATGTCAGTGCTGTGCAATAACAGACATTTACTGGTTGCCCACATGGTGCTGGTCAGCTGGAGTTCAGGTGAGCTGGCTAATACTAAATGAATTTCATCAGGTATAACAAGGTAGGGTCTGATGTGTTCAGCATACCTCTAGGCCAGTGGAAGAGGAATGTCTTGAAAGAATGTGGCTCAGAATCTCATGTGAGAGACTGGCATGAGGACATGGAGGGGTGGAAGCAGGAAATAAATACACCACTCACACCCAAACGTGAGACAGAGAGCTGGAGCAGGTCAGGTCCACACAGCATCTCAGAAATTCTGTGAGCCAATCAACTGGCTCACCAGGGTAGAGGGGTCAGAGAAGGACTAGGGCCTAAAGCTTCTGAGCATGTGCACATGATGGGGGAATCTCCCAAGTTGCAGATCTTACCCCTACACCAGCCTTTTGGATGAAGTAGGCATGGGGAAAGGACGAGGGAGACAAGGCCTGTGCTTGGTCTGTGATAATCTAGGTCCTGACACTTGCCAGACTGTTCCAACCAGTATGGGATGTGTTTTCTCTCCCCACCCTAACTTTCAAGGACCCACCCACACTGGCAAGGTCTGAGGAAGATACTAAGTCCCTAGTCAGGGCTGGAGGAAGAGGGACAAATGAGGTTTCAAGAAGGAACAAGGATTCAAGGTTGTGCTCTGTACTAGCTTGCAACTAAGAGGTCAGATTGCAGTTTGGAGGCTGAATATGAGAAAAGCAGTGCCCCAGATGCACAAGAAGGTAGCATCATAGGGTTAGGGTGGGTAGACTCCTCTTAATCCAGTTCCTGTGGGTACAAGTGGGAAGAAGAAGCAGGGTCTGAGACACCAGACCGGATGGGTTACTGGCAGGAATATCACCATGCCCCACCTTGGCTCCATGCTGCACAACTCCAGAGAGCCCTATTTACATAGACTACAGGAGAATGGGAATACCTGGAGCTGGTGGACCTCATGGCTGTGCATCTCCAATGATTCTGTCTATAGCAGACATCGCTAATCAATTACAGTTCCCATTCATCCTCCACTGGGCTCTTAGAGTCCTCCATAAAGGACTCCCGACAACCCCTACCAATTCCTTTTAGCTGACATTTGGAAATGTCAAGCATCTGCCATCATTTTCCCTGACTTCCACTGAGACAAAGACCTCTGGAGCTTGTCAGAAAGAGATCTGGTGACACAGAGCTGGAGCAGACTTGATCAGTTCTTTATTGGGAAGGGTATGGAGTCTGTAATTCGACAAATCAGTGAGCCTAGAAGAATTTCAAGCTCAAGTTGCAGCTGGGTTGCTGTGAGTTCATAGCTGCCCTGGAAATAGCCACGGGTGTGGCAATTACGCCACCGCCAATAGGCCTGGATAATGCGGACAGCTTTGAGCAAGCGGCAGTAACGCCTGCGGATGCGCCACATGCGGAACCAGGCCTGCACCTTGACCGCTGCCCATTCTTGCCATGCGTGATTCTTCAGCGCCGCTTGCCGCCTGGTGGTCAGCAGCCTCGCCAGCGTCTGCCTCCACCAACACTGAATGACCCAGGCTCTGAGGGCTGCGTGCAAAAGCGTCCGGCGCACCAGGGTACCCCGCCACCAGGCCTGGATCTTTATGGCTTCTTCCTCATTATCAGGGGGTTTCTATTTCATTTGTGAGGGTTGGAAGGAAAAAGAGAGGACACTCAGGAAATGTTCCTCACCCACCTCAGGTAGCGACCTGGTCTTCCATCAACAATGGTCCCTTTCTCTTAAATTCAGGAGCACTGACTGGAGCCAGGAGCTCAAGCCTGCATCTACCCCTCTCTGATTAATGGACACAGATACATCCTGCCCCGCCC